TGCTCTACCACTCATTGGTATGATCCATTCATTTGTTCTTCATTCATTCATGCTGCAAACATTTATTGGGTGTCTACTCTGCTAACCTGTGCTGCACCCTAGGGTAAGAGATGAGTCAGATATGTTCACCCTCAAAGCTGACGTGCAGTCTTTCAGCTGTTTCAGCAGTTAAGATATTGAAATACCCCTGTGCCTGTTGGGTCCACAGTCCCCACCCTGAGTCCCCTCCAGCTGCCCTGGGCCCTCCCCTGGTCTCCCTCCCATCCAGCAACTAAAAGGTGCATCTCAAGTCCCACCTTTGTAGACCTCATAGGCAAATGGTGGACACCTTAGAGTTTGGTGTGCTCAAGATGTTTAGTTTCTCCAGAATGTCAAGCTGTGAAGTGCACATGTACTGACCACAAACTTCGTTCTTCTCCATCTCCCCGTCTCCCACATCGACTGCATATTCTTCTTTGTTGTTGTTGTTTGTTTGTTTTTGAGACAGGGTCTCACTCTGTTACCCAGGCCTGGAGTTCAGGTGGCCCACGGCATCTTCAGTTTCAGCGGCAGGCCTCAACCTCCTTCGGTTTCAAGCCATCCTTCCTTGCCCCTCAGCTGCCCAAGCTAGCTGGACTACAGGTGCATGCCACCACGCCTGGCTAATTTTTTGCATTTTAGTAGAGGATGGGGTTTTACCATGTTTGGCCCTAGGCTGGGTCCCAGAACTCCTGACCTCGAAGTGATCTGCCTGCCTTGGACCCTCCCAAAGGGCAGGATTATTAGGTGTGAGCTACTGGCCCGCCCACTGGCATGTTTTTGCTTGCGTTGTTGTTTTTGGGGTTTTGAGACAGAGTCGGTCGCTCTTGGCCCAGGCTGGAGTTGCGTGACCACCCATCCTTGGATCACTGCAAACCTCTGGCTCCTGGATTCAAGGCGGATTCTCCTGCCTCCAGCCTCCTGAGTAGCGGGACTACAGGTGGCCACCCACCGTGGCCCGGCTAATTTTTTCTTTTTTTTTTTTTTCATAGGAGACGGGTTTTCACCGTGATTGGCCAGCGGTTGGTCTCAAACCCCCTGGCCTAAGTAATCTTGCTCCTGCCTTGGCCCCCAAGTGCTGGATTACAAGCATGGAGGCACCATCGGCCCCAAGCCTGCAGGTTTCTTTTTGTCTTTATTGCTACTAGCATTTTCAAGTCTGTCAAGTCTCTGCAGGCTCACTTCTGGGTCTTCCCCATCCACCTGGGAGGTCACGGTCATCCTCTGGAATTTCCCCTTCCTGGTGCCTGTCCTTCCTCTTTGCTGGCAGCCCCATGCTGGGTGAACATGGTCACCTGCATTTCCATGGTTTGCTTCTGACTGGTGGCCTCAGGGCCCTGCTGTAGGGCAGATCACGTAAGGGCAAGAGTGTGCCGAGAGTTTTGCACCCCACGGGGCTACAGATTCAGCTACACCTTCTGGCTGCTTGTGGGCAAAAGATGGTCCCTCCGCCCATTTTTGTTGTTCATCATCTGCTACCTTTCTGTAGTTTATTCTTCTCCTTGCACATGGTCAATCTCCTCCCCTTGTGATCCTACGATTACCACTCAGGTCTCTCTATTTACTTCATCCTCACTCTGTATACAGAGATCATTTATTGTATCATATGGATATTCACATCTTTTCCCGCCAAGATTTCATTTCGGCACTCTTGCAGTTAGGTGGAGCCATGTGACTATTTGGCTTTGGCTAATGGGCTTTGAGTGGAAATAAATAACGTCCCTTGTGGGTGGAAGCATTTAAAAGCCAGTGCGTGGCCCTCCAGCTCTCTTTTCCCTTCTTCAGTGAGCTGGAAGCTACTGGTCAAGGTGGTGGCTTCCCAAGACAGGAGTAATTTTGATCGTTGAGTCCTGATGTGGAGAAGAGGAACCCTGAAGAGCTGCCTGACTGTGGTAGGAATATTTGTAACAGAAACAGAACTTTGTCATGTAAGCCTCTCACATTGAGAGGGCAATTTGTTACTGCAGCATAGCTTAGCATTCCCTAATACACGCCCTATGATAACAACAGTCAGAGCACCTTTCCTTGAGTCTACTATTCCCTCGGGTTTCCGCTCTGTTTCCCTCAATATCTCCATTGCTGACTTACTGAAGTATGAAGTCTCTAAGCAGGGCTGCTGTTTTCTTTTCCCGTCTACAAATTCATTCCTCAATCCCTGGCCCTTGACCTGCTGCTTTACCTAATTATTCGCTGCAAGGCTCCCAATGATGCCACAACCCCAAATTCAACAGCACCTTCAGTAGCTCCAGCCCCTTTGCAGACAGGTACTACGTGGTCGACTCTGAGCTTCTTTCATCTCCTTCTCTGGTGCCTCCTTGGTGGTCTGAGTTTTCTTCCTGTCCCTCCAATGCTCTTTTCAAGTCTGCCTCACCACTGACTCTTCTTCACTCTGCCTCCTAAATATAGCCCTTCCCAAGGTCTAGCCCTGTTCTTTGTACTTTCTCTCTTGATCTCACCCAAGCTATGACTTCCATGTCCCTGACCATGACCATGACTCCCAAATCTGTTTACGGTCACTGCTCTCAAAGAGCTGCAGGCTAACAGGGAGCACGTTGAGCTCTTCCCAGGCTCCCGGACCACAGTTCTGACCACCTGGGCATTCTCACACTTAACGTACCAAACTCAAATCAATTTGCTTTCTCTTTCCCTTCATCATTAAGCCTGCTACTCTGCCCTTCATATTACATGACTGCTACTTCTCCTCCTCTTTTATTTATTTATTATAATAATAATAATTATTATTATTATTATTATTTTGAGATAGAGTCTTGCTCTGTCACCCAGGTTGGAGAGCAGTGGCATAATTACAGCACTGCAGCCTCAACCTCCCAGGTTCAAGCGATCCTCCCACCTCAGCTTCTGGAGTAGCTGAAGCCACAGGTGCGTACCACCACATCCAGTTTTTTGTTTTTGTTTTTGTTTTTGTTTTTGGTGTTTTTTTTGTAAAGATAGGGTTTCATCATGTTGCCCAGGATGGTCTCAAACTCATAGGCTCAGGTGATCACCCTGCCTTGGCCTCCCACAGTGTTGGGATTACAGGCATGAGCCACCGCGCCTGGCCCGGTCTTACTTTCCTACGCACACTTGCCTCACACTCCAGGAAAACTGGCTTGTTTCTTGTTCTCCAAACATGCCCAGGGCAATCCTTACTCTGTCTTTTGCTCAAGCTACCCCTGCTGCCCGGAAAGCCTTCTTCCCACCCCAGCTCTCATTTCTGTCTTTCTATTGAATCCCACCAATCTCTGGAACCTATTAGGCCAAAAAATGATCTAGAGAAACTCGAAATCCTTGGATCCAAAGGCTCACACCACAGGGGAGTAGGAAGTGGTGGGCTGGGAAGGGCAGTGGGTTGGGGGTGACCAAGGAATGTGTACCCCTTTTGTACACCATGTTCCCTATAAAGACTTTCCTAATACCCTTGACCTTATGTGTTTGCTCCCTCCTTTGCAAACGTAGAATGTTTTATTCGTAACTTTTATGAGTTAGAATAAAACCAGTTGTCCTTTCTTGCTACTGTCTTTAATCCATCAGACATTTTGCTCTCTGGCCTCCCAGCCAGCTGGTTCTCCTGAGAGTATTTATAGAACTGCATTTGTGATGACTCCCTTTTAGGAAGTGGGTGCGTATGTTGTACTTTTGCTTTCGGTCACAGGATGAAACCTCACTTCAAGTGGGAAATTACCAATGAAGCCGGTGGCTGGACTTTCCTGCGCCCCATTTCTGTGAATGTTCTTGGAGTTGGCAGCATTTTTTCCCTGACATCCTGAGCTGTACGCAGCTATGAACCAAACCTGGCTGCTTTGCATGTGCCTGAAGGCCTCCCAGCCAGGCGGTTCTTCTGGAACATTCAGCTGGTCTCATCCCTGTGAACCCCTCCTGCCCCTCACCACTCTAGACAGTCCAGGCAGGGGTTTAGAAGGAAATTCATCTGCACTGACTCTCCATGTGCTAAGGCGGCCCACAGCTTTTTGCCTGGGTAAGCAGAGCCCAGAGAGCCCATTGGGTGAAAAATAGGTGGTACTGTAATTACTTCAAAGTCATAGCAAGTCTGGGCAGGCACTGAGGGAGGATACTAAATCTGGAGGCTGAAATGCAGAGGGCAAAACTGGGAGCTAACTGGGCAGTGGATCCCAGGGGAGAGATGGGAGGAGCCCCTGCTGGGGTGGCCACTGGGGCTGAGGCTGGCCCTGACCCTGATGGTTCCCTCCTCTGCCAGCACAGAGGAAGGGAAGGCTTCATGGATAGTACTTCCTACCGCACAAACTCCTAAATGGGAAGTATTTTGTCATCCAAAGGCAGGGACAGAGAGGCAGTGTGGCCCTATATCTCTTACCCTAATAGGCCAAATAATGATGTAGAGAAACTCAAAATCCTTGGATCCAAAGGCTCACACCACAGGGGAGTAGAAAGTGGTGGGCTGGGAAGGGTAGTGGGTTGGGGGTGACCAAGGAATGTGTACCCCTTCCCCTTAACCCCCACCTCCTGATGCAGCCACAATTTTTGTCAACCACTCCTGGGCCAAACAGCAGTCACTGTCAGGTCAGCTGGCTGGGGATACCTGTTCTGGTCCAATTCTTTCATTTCATTGACTGGAGGCCTCCCAGAGAGGTGAAGGGGCATATCTGAGGTCACACAGCCAGTTTTGGGGAGACATTGAAACTCAAATCCCAGTCTCCTGGTGACCTCGCCATGGCTCCTTCCACTCAACCTGTTACCTCTCTGTGTCAGGCAAGATGGGAAATGCTGGGAGACTTTGATAAAGGCTGACAAAGATGGTTCCCCGTGAGTCTGCAAATGCATGGAAGAGAATCAAAGGGAAAATAAATGGCTCCTATAAATATTTATGTCGAAATCTAGCACTATGACCTGCAGAACCAGTAGGGGCTCCGAGAAAAGTTCAATCCAGTGTTGGAAAAACAATAGTTAATTTTTTTCAAAACACTCAGCAGAGTTGAAAAACAGTGTGTTCCAAAATAAATAAGTTCCGTTGACTGAGTGACCATAGTGTTTATTCATTTCATTGTTTATGGCCTCGCTGTTAAAGCTTTTTTTTTTTTTTTAACAAAGCTATTATTATTGTTAAAAACATAGTATTTCTGACATCATGAATTTTTTTTTTTTTTTTGACACCCAAAGCCAAAACATTCTCTGTTTTTTGGACCAAGGACTCCTTGAGGTTTGAAGAACCAGAAAATTGTTTTCCATGTGGCTCTAGAAAGGCCAACATTCCCTAATGGATGCTTCCCCTTATCTGGAGTTAAGAACTGTCCCAGGGTCCAGCTCAATGGCTCGGAGGCAGGCCCATCCTCCAGGTCCCTCGGAGCAGGAGAGCTGTTCCCAGTCAGCTTGGCCAGGCCCCAGTCCCTCGCAGCAGGCCCTAAGGCAGTCAGACAGTGGGGCTTTAGAACAGCCTGGGAGGCCCAAGCCTTCTGGGCTTTGCAGTGGGATGACCTGAGAAATGCTAACATCCTTTGGGTTGTAACTCCAAAAAGGAGACTTCAGATCTCCTTCTAAATTCTACAGGTCTTTAGTCTCCTTCTGAAGTCTAAAGTGTAGGCACTGCAGCAGTCTTGGAGGAGGCTGACGAAACCCAAAGGTGTCTGTTCCTTCAGCCACCCCAGAGCCATCGGAAGAAGGCACAGGCAGTCGTACCACCAAACGACTCACCTTTATGCTTCTTGGTTATGTCTAGAGCTGCAAATACCCTTTCGCTCGGCCTCACCCACTGGCATTCGATGCCAGTGCTCTTGCACCCTAGCTTTGGGGGCTCAAACACTGGGGATGTTCAATGTGTCGTGACCTGAATGCCTTCTGTGAGCCAGGTATAGGTCCTTTCTCCATCTCCCTTGTCCCAGCTTCTCTCCCACCTCCAACCCCACTCTTAACAGCCCCTCCCTGCCAGCCCCCTCTACCGCCTGCTCTTTCCATCTCTTGCAGGTGGCTCCTCCTCCCCTCTCCTTTCACCTGGTTTTGGGCTGGCTTGGACCTGCTCCTGCCTTTCTGATCCTTGCCAACCTTGCCATCTCTACACCCCTCTGTTCTTAACATCCTTGTCCTCTGTTCTTAACCATGCCTGAAACCTTACCCCTTGCCACTAGACTCCTTCAACCTTGCCCCTTCTTTAAAACGCTTTTTTGACTCTCCTGCCACCAATACCCCTCCTCATGTGTTCTGTCAATCTGCTTTTCTTCCCCGTAAGATGAGCTGGGAAAATGGCAATGACACCCAGCTCAGCTGGACTCCCTGTGTGTGGACAAATGCAGGGCACAACAGAAAGGTGGCCATGCCTTTCAAATGTGTGGGTCCCCACCCATGAGTGGATCCCAAAGTCATTTTATTGGATTGTAACCAACAGTGAAAAATAAATAGAACAGAACATACTGGAGGACGTCCCCCAGGGAAGGGTAAGTATTGTTTTGTGACATTTTTGTTTTCGCCATTTCTGTGTGTGTGCGTTGCAAGTCTCAGTGTGAAATATATTTCTTACTGTGGGTTGCAACCAAAAAAGTTCAAAAAGTCCCTCGTCTAAAGAACCAATGAAGATATCAAAGACCCATTATTGAAGGTGACAGGAGTGAGAAATTTGCCTGGGCCGGGCACAGTGGCTCAGGCCTGTAACCCCAGCACTTTGAGAGACTGAGGCGGGTGGATCACCTGAGGTCAGGAGTTCGAGACCAGCCTGGTCAACATGGTGAAACCCCGTCTCTACTAAAAATACAAAAATTAGCTGGGCGTGGTGGCAGTTGCTGTAATCCCAGCTACTCGGGAGGCTGAGGCAGAAGAAATGCTTGAACCCGGGAGGCAGAGGTTGCAGTGACCTGAGATCGTGCCATTATACCCCAGCCTGGGCGACAAGAGAAAAAAAACTCCATCTCAAAAAAAAAAAAAAAAAAAAAAAAAAGCCTGGCTGTGGAGGCTCAGAGAGAGCCCTGCATTCCTTAGAGAACCTGTAGGTCCTACAGGTGGGGCTGCCATTCTCCTACTGGAGGAAGCAGGGCATGGTTTAGGAACTTTCACCCAGGAAGGTCTGTAGAAACTGTCAAGATTCACACCCAGCATTTAGACTCCAATTTGCATACAAATCAAAGACTGAACTCTTAATTAATGGTCATCAAAATCAAAAGAAAGTGTTTAAAAGGAATAGGATCCTTTAGAGAGTTTTCCTTGCAGCTCCATCTGCTGTTTCTCTAGCCCATAAAATCAAGACCCAGAGAATGTGTCCCATGGAAGTGGAGTCCAGCCAGATTTGGAAATCTACCATCTTTTTCAGTGAGATCATCAGATGCTGCCACTTAAAGTGCAACACAACATGAGTCTCATCCCTGTGGACTGGAGGCAGCCGAGTTCCAACTCATCCCACGCACCCAGAGCCGTGGACAGGGATGGCCAAGCCTGGAGTTACTGGCAGTAAAAGGTGAGCACGTTTTCCTGGTTTCCTCGGATCAGGATGACTGGAGGTCTGAGGTCCTGGGACAGGGTCTCCAGCCACGCCATGTACAGAGAGCTGGGGCACTCCCCCTTCCTCCCTATGGGCAAAGTGCTGCAAAGCATGAAAAAGCGGCAGAGGAGAGATTACCATGGGGCCTCTCCACACGCCCAGCTCCTGGTTTGTTTTCAGAACAGCGAGTCTGTTTACTGTCCCTCAGAGCTCCTTCCACCCACCCTAAGAATGACCTCCCCACTTTCCGCACAAACATGACCCAGAATGGACCTTCTGCCGTGAAGCGTTTCCAAACAAAGCCATGGCCCACAAGCCCCGTGGGATCTAGTCCTTGCCAAGCCAACGACCTCACCTCCTCCCACCCTCGCCTTGCTCACCCCCGATGCCCTGTGGCTTTCTTTCCATTCCTAAAAAAACGCCAAGCTCACTTTTGCCTCCAACCTTTGCACTTGACGTTCTCCCCACCCAGCGGGAAGAGCAGCCCCAGCTCTGCACCTGGTCACTTCCTTTGAGTCAGGCAAGTTCACCCACCTCCTTCCCTGGTCACTTCTCCAGGGCAGGCCGCCCACGCCTCTTCCTCACATCATCCCACTTTACTGTCTTTAGAGCCCTCCACAGCCCCAACAGCATCTTCTGATTTATGTGCTTGTCTCCCCACATTAGAATGTTCGCTCACAAGCAGGCCTGATCTGTCTTGTTCACCCCCCTTTTCCCAGTGCCCAGAACACAGTCTGATACAGTCAGGCTCAGTTATGTATTTGTTAAGTGGGCGACCCTTTCCCATCAGGCCACCCGCCTCATGCCAGGCTTGCCTCATGCCACCCGCCCTGTGCCAGCCTGTGGCCACAGCAATGTGATATGTTCCTGTTCATTCATTGTCCAGCTCAGTGTTCTTGTCCTGCCTCCTGCCCTGTGCAGGAGGCCCTGGGAGCAAGACTCCACCACTGCCTATGGGGAGGCCCCTTCTCTTAACTGTGCAATGCTGCGTGAATAAAAAGATGCCCTGGGAATGCTGTTCAGCCATGTCTTCCAACTATTTCAGGAAGTGACTTTTCTACTATCTGGAGAATTCCAAAAATGCATTGGGATGGCCACAGCTGCCCAGCTCTGGGCTTCGGGAGGGTCTCTGAGCTCCAGCAGGGTCTCCCAGGTCCAGCTGGTGCCACGTGAAGTTGGAGCACCAGCACCTTCCGTGCAACTCACTTGAATGTCTGTTTTCCCCAAGTACATCCCCCTAGGGAATGGGCAGGGCCCGCAGCACCACGCTCCTTCACGGCTGGGGGAACTGGGGCAGGAGGAGGATGCTGGAGCACTGGGATCAGAGCCAGGCTCTGGCATCTGAGTCGTGGCTTTGCCACTTCCTCAGCCAGATGACCTTTGCAGAGTTTCTCTTCTCTAAAGCAAGAACACAAAAACCTCCCTCTCAGGATGTTTGCGACGCTAAAGCCGGCAAAGCACACGCAGGCACAGCACAATGCCTGGCACACAGTGAGCGCTCCGCAAGGTCAGCAGCTGTCATCAGCACTTAGTACTGACCAGCACGTGACAGCTAAGCCAGTGGCAGCAAAACTGGAACTTGAACCGAGGTCTTGGCATCTTCCCTCCGCAGCAGCCTCTGCTTACAGCAACTCCAACCTCCTCTGAGAAGGGTAACTGGGATCCTAAACAGCTATGTCATACTTGAAGTTCCATCCACAAAGCTTCACCTGGGACAAGCCCTACCCGCCTTTAAAAAGCAATGTCCTGGGCCGGGCGTGGTCACGCCTGTAACCCCAGCACTTTGGGAGCCCGAGGCGGGTGGATCACTTGAGCTCAGGAGTTTGAGACCAACCTGGGCAACATGGTGAGACCCTGTCTTTACAAAAAATACAAAAATTAGTTGGGCATGATGGCGCACGCCTGTGGTCCCAGCTACTTAGGAAGCTGAGGCAGGAGGATCATTTGAGCCTGGGAGATCGAGGCTGCAGTGAACGTGATTGCGCCACTGCACTGCAGCCTGGGCAACAGAGTGAGACTGTCTCAAAACAAACAAACAAACAAAAAAGGTCTCAAAAATTAGGGAAGGCGGGTTGGCCCAAGGCTATTTCATTAAGCTATAGTCATCTGAGTTCAAATATTTAGTGACTTTCCAGGGGAAAGGGACATAGGACTACTGAGACCAAACTCTCCTGACCGATCAGTTATGCAAGAGGCAGACAACACCATCCAGGAAGCAGTACATGATTTCAGGGACTGAATTCAGAAACGTCAAAGGCCACAAGAGAAATGGTGCCTGCATCATGGGGGTGGGGAACACCCATCACCCCTGCGGTGGACTTTTAAGCTTCAGCATGGAGTTCCCTCCCCCAACAGAGCCTGTCCACCTGTCCAAGAGACAGCTGTCTTTAAAATCACCCCGCCCCCACACCAATCACTGACGTGCTGTATTCCTGCTCATAGGATGTGCACGCCTTGAGCTACTAATCTTCAGAAATAAAGCTGTTCCAGAACAAATGAACATTTTTTTTTCAGAATTACATCTCTTAGCCACAAAGAAAGGCGGCTTCAGATCTAACCTAGATGTGAAAGACAGCCCTGCATCAGAACCACAGTCACAAGCTCCAGATGCAATTCCCACTTCCTGTCTGCAAGACCCTGGCCAAGCTGCTTAACTCCTCTGAAGCTGCTTCCTCATCTCTAAAGTAGGAGTGAGGGGGTGATTATAATAGAGTTTTGAGGCCAGGCACAGTGGCTCATGCCTGTAATCCTAGCATTTTGAGAGGACAAGGCAGGTAGATTGCTTGAGCTCAGGAGTTGGAGATCAGCCTGGGCCAACATGGTAAAACCCTGTCTCCATAAAAAAATACAAAAAACTAGCCAGGCCTGGTGGCATGTGCCTGTAGTCCCAGCTACTCTGGAGGCTGAGGTAGGGGGATTGTTTGAGTCCCGGGAGGTGGAGGTTGCAGTGAGTTGAGATCTCACTACTGCTCTCTAGCCTGGGTGACAGAGTAAGACCCCGCCTCAAAAACAAAGAAAATTATAGGACCAAAGAGGCCCAAAAAGAGAAAAAACAACAACAACAACAACAACAACAACAAAACAAAGAGGTTGCAGTGAGCTGAGATCCTGCCACTGCACTCCAGCCTGGGTGACAGAGTGAGACGCTGTCTTAAAATTAGGGCTTTGCAAATTCATAAGGCCTGATGCCTTGAGTATCATATAGAGGCCCAAGCCATAAAATGCAATGTTGATTATTACTATTTTGATTATTGCTGTTTGGCTTTGAGGAGGGAGTGTTTTTAGAAAAAAAGAGGCATCTGGACCCAACAGGAATATGTTGCTAGGCTAGTCAAAGGTTGTTGGGCTCTTTATGAGGCTGGTTTATCAGCTGTGCTGGGGTAGCTGAGCTCAAACCTGGGGCCATTGGATAACCCACTGATTAGTGAACAGCAGTCGACCAAGTGCTGCCTCAAACCCGCTCTAGAAAATGCCCCAAGCACGCTCTCCCAAATGCTAGACAATGTGATCTAATCATTTCACGAAGGCTTGGGAGATTTTTTGTTTCCCCTTCCTCAGAATTTCTGGGCTCCACCCTAGAGCCTGGTCTGGAAGGCACTGAGGAACTTGCATTTTCCACAGTCCCCTGGTAGTTCTGATGAAGCAGACCCTCTGACTGAACTTGTAGAGAAACACTAGGCATGGCTCCAGGTTGGAGATTAGTGATGGAAAGATGCAGCTGCTCTGTCCTCCTGGGGGACGTGGCCCAATAGCTGGGGCCTCTTTGGGCAACAGCTGTAGCTACTGGCATGGGGTGGGACGCCCTGGGCAGGGGTCTTCTCTTGGGTCACTGGATTTATAATTACTTGTATCGGTGAACCCCACAAAGGCTGGTGGGTGGGGTATTGGTTTTCCCTGTGAGTTTGGGGGACGGTGGTGGGGATGGGGGGTGGGAAGGGAGAGATTCCAATAGATGGTCACCTCCTGGGATGAAACTCTTCATCTTATGGCTTAAGAGACTGAGAGACTGATTCTTTTTTTTCTTTTTCTTTTTTTTTTTTTTTGGTACAGACAGGGTCTCACTATGTTGCACAGGCTGGTCTTCAACTCCTGAGCTTGATCAATCCTTCAGCCTCAGCCTCCCAAAGTGCTGGGATTACAGGCATAAGCCACTAAGCCCAGCTGAGACTGACTCATTTTAATGACAAATAAACTTAGAATCACAGCATGTTAGCATGAAAGAGAATCTTGGAAATACTTTTGTTAACTATTTATAATTAGGGAAACTGAGGCTAGAGAGATATGGGGTCTTACCCAAGGCCACACAGTGGGCTAATGGCATAGACAAAATGCCCACATGCCTCTCTGAACAGAGGTGGCACGTCAAGCTGTGGTCTGGCACACCCATGCACACCCACCAGGCACCATACCCAAGGAAGAGCCTGGGGAGGCATCCCAGGACGAAGCCATTTCCACTGTCTCGCACTCGGACCCAGCCCTCACCCTGGACCAACCTTGCCCTAGGAACATTCTCTGCTAGGTGTTGGCAAGAGGTCTGGAGATAAGCCCAGCCCCTTTCCTTATGGCTGTTCTCCAAGGAAACATGGAGCACTTTCTTTGTACAAAAAAAACTATGTCCCTAAAGCCCCAGGAAGCATTGTTCTGGGCGGAGCCAGCTGCCTCAGTGTGCAACCAGCACAGTCACATGGGGTCTTCTGCTCAGGAGGGTCCCTTGTTTGTCTAATGCCCTGCTGTCACCATCTTGACTTTTTTTTTTTTAATGCCTTGTTTAAGTCACACAAGAAAGTGTTGCAAGTGACAGTTCAACCCAATTGACTACACTATAAATTATATCACTATCTGCGGCCGGGCACCATGGCTAACGCCTGTAATCCCAGCACTTTGGGAGGCTGAGGTGGGTGGATCACCTGAGGTCAGCAGTTTGAGATCAGCCTGGCCAACATGGTGAAACCCCATCTCTTCTAAAAATACAAAAAATTAGCCGGGTAAGGTGGCAGTATTTGGGAGACTGAGGCAGGAGAATCACTTGAACCCAGGAGGTGGAGGTTACAGTGAGCTGAGATCACACCACTGCACTCAAGCTTTGGCGACAGAGCGAGACT